CTTGAGCTCTACCCCGGGCCCAGGAGTTCTGGCCCTAACAGGTAAGTTTTTTGGGGGTATGTAGCCTAGGCCTTTGGCCATATGGAATAATTTCACTGACAGCCGTCTAACGTCCCAGGGGCAACTCACATGGCAACATGGTAGAGTTGGTACTTAGTGCTCGCCATGGTTTCTGGCATGCACTCCCCTCAGCATGGTGGCGTGGGTATACCGTTCCCCATAGAGACCCCTAGAGGACGCAGTTCGAAGTTCCCATGAAAGGGAACGTCTCAGGTTACGTATTTAACCATGGTTCCCTGAGTAGGGAATGAGACACTGCGTCCTCTCGGTTTCTTGACATGCTTCGGACGCAAGCTTCAGACGAAGAAGTGGATGATGTGTTCTCCCGGTGCCTATTTATACTATAGTCGCACCGGTAGTGACGTCATGGCTGTCACCGGCCAACGTGTTGTTGGTGTTTTTTCAATGTATGCTTCAGACACGGGTCACGACGAGGCGTTCCCCATAGCGACCCCTAGAGGACGCAGTGTCTCGTCCCCTACTCAGGGAACCATGGTTACATACGTAACCTGAGAAGTTTTCCAAACTGTCCTGGAGCAGCCAGCACTGTCTCCCTCATCTAACAACCGATTCAGCTCAATTTAATTAGTATAGACTTTAAGATCTGAAGTGGGTCAGAATAGGTAAAGAGAGATGCATTTCAAATTTGCGTCACGTTCAGCAACGGCAACTCTTAAAGAAATAGTGGTAACACTTTACTTGAAGGGGTGTGCATAAGACTGACATGACACCTTCATAATCATGTCATGATTATGTAGGTGTCATGTCATGATTATGAAGGTGTCATGTCAGTCTTATGCACACCACTTCAAGTAAAGTGTAACCGAAATAGCAACCAAAACAACCTAATAACCAGCTGCTGTGATGTCTATTAATCAAAGATCAAAGAAAAAAGAGGAAATCAATAACTTTTGTAGCTTTAAGGATTCATCTATACTTAATTTAAAATGTAGTGTTCGATAACTTTATTCAATTTCTGTATATTTCTTACCTGCTGAAGGGCACAGGTAAATATGACATTTATTATAATGGGTTTATTTGAAGATTGTTTTAAGTTCACTTAAATTAGAAGTTATTTTAAGTAGTCTAATAAATGTTAAAATTTATATCTCTAATCAATGGTTAAATATTAGGGGGAAAACTATTTCCTAGACATCAGTATTATGGTATCAGTGATACTGTACTTCAGTCATAAAAAAATGCCATTATACAAATATTAAAAATATACTGTCTTTATGTTGTTTCTACATTAATTTGAAAATTTAATGCAAAATTATTGCAATATAAAAGTATTTTTAAAAACTTTAATGTTAGGTGGGATTAATCACGATTAATTTCAGAAAAATAATGTTCAATTAATGAGTCATTTTTTAATCGACTAACAGCATAAATATATATATATATATATATATTTTTTTTTTTTTAATTATTATTATTTATTTTTTTTATGAATGATAGAAACCTGAAAACACGCACACACATATACAGTATACATATACTGTAACATCTCAAACATACTGTAGTGTACTGGATAAAATAATGTGAACAGCCATTATTATAGATTTAGTATAATTTGTGTAGGCTAATGTTAAAAAAATATAATAATGCTTATCTTTTATTTATATTTTATTGTCTATATTTTATATGTTGTACATACAGGCTCAGTGCTAAGGATTTTTCTTGCCCTGCCAATATTTTCACTGGCCCTGCCACAAAATATTAGATAGTTGTTGTTTTCATTGTTTTTGACCCATGTTATCTTGTACTCTCTCTCTAATAATTAGGCTTATGTGACGCCATCATTTTAGATGCCAGTGAAGTTTTACAATTCTCTATTCTAATTTTGATACCACAGCAAAAATTACTAGCCTAACAAATAAAAACTGTAAACATTATTAAAGACAAGTGAACAGTCAGTGATAAAATAAGAACAAATAAACAAATTACAAGCAATAGCACAAATAAAAATTTTCTGGTTTGTAGGTGACATACATTGCATAATAAAATGGAAAATAACATTGCATAGTATTCACTGTATAAATTAATTATAGATTAATTCTTGTTAAAGTTATAACAAGAATTAATCAAAAGTTGTTCAGTCAAGGGCAGTGTCACAGTGTCACAGTGATTCTGTGTGTTTTTCCCTCTCCACGTGCTCCATGACCTAGTATTCCCATGTGTTAATTGTTAATTAGTTCCAGGTGTGTCTCGTCATCCCCTCATCAAGTCTTGTGTATTTAAAGTGAGTCCTTTTCATAGTCTCGTTGTCTGGTATTGAAAGTTCATCTCTCCCCGCTACGTGTGTGCTCCTGGTTCCTTGGATGTTCATTTAAGTCTGTTAGTTTGAAGTTTACTCCATGTCTCCTCATTCCTCGCTCTGTACTCCTCACAGTAGTGGCTCGTGACAAGCAGTGAGTGATTTTCAATATTTTTTTTTTTTTCGATTAACATTAAGGACAATTAGTCTGTGTTACTTTAAGACACTGTGCATGGATGCAATATTAGCTTTCTTTCTCAACTGTTTATGTTCATTAAAAACGAGGATACTCTAATCACCCAGACGGGTATTTTGAAATAATTTTGTATGTGTTTGTCTGTTTAAAAGACATAAAAAAGAAGACTCAATCTGGTGTTTGTGGATTGTCAGAGTTGTGGCTCTCTGTGTTCATGATGTGTGCACTATAAAAAAAAAAGTGAGAGCAATGAGTTCCCTTTCAGTCGGTCACTCTCGACGTCACGTCGGAGGACCGACGAATTGGGATCTCGCTTAGAGGGACCAATCTACTTCGAGTGTAAACTAAACGAGCCAATACACATTGGCATGCGATTATTGCATCCAGCTGCTGCTGATCACAGCGTGAGTATAAGTAGGCAGCAGATGCAGCGCATATTCAGCTTTTCGCTTCGGAGCCGAGCGATCACATCATTCTGCTCCTGACTACTCTACGGAGAGAAGAAGACTGAACGAGTTCAGCACGCTCTTGGAGAGCTCTTCGTGTTGGCGGACGGCGCTTCAGCGGTGGTGGTTTCCCGTGTCGAGTGGGTTGCACACATCAGGCTGCACTACCCCCTGTTTGTGTTGCAAATTATCATCTCCCCTGTGCGCCTCAGCACGCTAAAAGAGCTTTTTCCCCTAAAAGAGCAATTTCGGGTGCGTCTTTTTAAAGACGACGTTGCGTGGCAAACTTGACGTTACGTCTTTGTAAAGACGATGTGGGTCTTGCTATAGACAACGTATCACCCGGGCATTCTGGATGCGGTCATTACACCTGAATATGTGCTGCATCTGCTGCCTACTTATACTCACGCTGTGATCAGCAGCAGCTGGATGCAATAATCGCATGCCAATGTGCATTGGCTCGTTTAGTTTACACTCGAAGTAGATTGGTCCCTCTAAGCGAGATCCCAATTCGTCGGTCCTCTGACGTGACGTCTCCGTTCCCTCCTTCAGGGAACGAGGGTTACATACGTAACCGAGACGTTGTTACTTCTCGTCTTCTTTCACTTGAATGGTTTCAAGTCACTTGAATGTTCAAATTGGCAAGGCTTAAAATTGATGAAAAATTATAAACATTTGTGAGGATGCAGCAGTGGCCCGATCGGGCAGTTCTTATTGTCGATCCCTGATAGCGTAAGTTGTGTTTAGTTCAAGCTGTGGGGAAAAAGGGGTGATTTGTCACCAAAAAGGGTAAATTATCGGAGCCCATTTAGCAGGAGCATCTGTAGCTCAATTGTTTGGTGTTTTAAGAACAACAGTCTTTACAATCGTGTGTACACAAAGCTTGGCAAGACATAATTAGCAAAGAAGAATCGTGGGCGAGAACTGAAAGTGAATGATAGGATCTGGAAAGGATTGTTCAAACAACAGAAACTTCAGAAAGTCAACATCCATTAAAGAGCTGCAACTGCTAAAACTTTAATCACAGACAGCAATGCTAAAATGGACAAAAGATTTCTTGATCATAAAACCTGGACAGTTGGAGCACCAAAATGAACTTCATCTGACTTGAATATTATCAAACCACTGTGAGCAGATTTGGAGAGAGGAGTGAGAAGCCAATTCCCTTCAACAACTGGCAGATGTTCTGACAGACGACACTGGAGACTATTCAGAAGTTGTATGAATCTATTATTGGAATCTATTATTATAGGTTGGAAGCTGTATCAAAGGCAAATGCTGGTAGAACACCTTAATTAAGAAGTATTGCCTATTTTGCAGTTGTTCATATTGTAGCAAGTCTGAAAAAGTGTGTTATGCTGTCAGGTGTGATTTAAGTCAAATATGTTCTGTTCCTGTGTTTTGTGTTCTTTTTGCATGGGGTCTTTAAGGGGTGGGTGTTCTTCTGAAGAACGAGTCTGCGCACTCGTGTGTGGGTGGAGTCAGGGGAAAAAGGTTCTGGAAGTTTGTGAGTTCAGGGGGAGAGTTGAGCTCAAGCATTGGGTTTGCCTCGGGCGCTCTCGTGAATAAAAAGCAAGCTACAAAAGAAACCGTCAAGTTGTCGTTTCCCTTACTAGATCGCTACACTGGTGTCAGAAGTGACCTAACCGAATCCAGTTGTTCTACGGGATTACTGACATTATTTTCCCAGCAGCACGATGCGGAAGCAGGCTCGAGAAAAGATTAAGTCCGAGCCAGGCGCGAGCCGAATGTTTCAGGAGGCTCTGGGCGCTTCAGCGTGGGCTTCTGATCGATTCGCAACAGATGGCTATCTGGATTCGCACAAGGCTCGTGTGAAGGAGGCTACGAGGAGGATGGCTGCAGACGCCGGGCTTTCACCGCCGGATCAGAGTGTCACCGAGAGCTGCCGAACTTTCACGGGGACATCCAACAGACACAGCGGCGCGCACGGGACTGCGCTGGCTTCGGATGCGAACAGAAACAGCGGCACACGGAACCCCACTGTTGTCGGATGTAAACAGACATGGCGGCGCCCACGGGACGGCGCTGGCTTCGGATGCGAACAGACACAGCGGCGCACACGGAACCCCGCTGTTGTCGGATGTAAACAGACATGGCGGCACCCACGGAGCCGCGCTATTGACAGAGGTGAATGAACACGGTGGCGCCCGTGCTGCCGCGGTGGCTGTTAAAACCCCCAAATTCTCAGGTAAAGTTGATTGGGAAGCTTTTCACGCACAGTTTGAACTGTTGGCTCATGCTGGGAACTGGTCGGAGGACCGCAAAGCTCTTGAATTGGCTATGTGCCTTACAGATGATGCTCTGAACTGTTTGTTATTGCTTTGCCCTGAAAATAGACATGATTATAAGGCACTTGTCGGGGCACTGAGATGGCGATTTGGTCAATTTGAACAGCCAGGGCTTCTGCGTTCCGAACTGAGTAATAGACGCAGGCAGCCAGGAGAGCAGCTGAGAACCCTGGCAAATGACATTGAAAATTTGACTCGGCGAGCGTATGCCCACATGCCACCGTCTGTTCAAGGGGAGCTTGTGAGAGACCAATTCATCCAGGCCCTTATTCCTGTGGAGCTCCGTATGCAGACACAGCTTGCCCACCCTCAGACCTTGCAGGATGCCTTGGAGATGGCGTTGGAGAGGGAGATTGTGTGGGGAACTTGCGTGCAGGATGAGAGACCAATTCATCCAGGCCCTTATTCCTGTGGAGCTCCATATGCAGACACAGCTTGCCCACCCTCAGACCTTGCAGGATGCCTTGGAGATGGCGTTGGTTGGGGTCCGCATGGTAAGAAAAAGTGAAGACGTCGAAGATCTTGATGAAGAATGCCTTTTATTACAGAATAGTAGTGACAAAGTACATGTAGTACCTTGGGTTCAACGGAGTCAGACTGAACCCCGAACATCCTAAGCTCAATCATTTTATACAGTATTACGTTTATCTTCCCTCTCAACATGTAAATGAAGTTTCGTTTTAAATGTAAATTGCGGATGACAATTAAAGTGATAGTCTTCCGTTCCCACATCTTCGGTAGACTCAAGTGGGAAGAACCAAAAGTTAAGGTGATAAGATTAAACAGAATCCATAGCAGTTCTTTCATGTACCCTTTTGGTCAGCAGATGGTTCTTGACGACCTGCTGCTTCTCCCACGCTATCTC